ACTCCAACCTAGTGTGAAATAGAGCCGACTCCTGGATTCATCACTCATCGGCAGAAGCTATACCTCTTCGCCGAGCAAGGGGTGACTCTGCGTAGTCAGCGTCCGTGAAATACCGGAGTCCCCGGCTCGACACGGAAATATTAGTGCAGGAGGGGAAACATATTCGACGAGAGGAATTGAATCTTCATGTGCCATATATATTATCCAGACAGAGGAATAAAATAAAATAAGGAATATTTTGTATTAAATAAAAGAAGTAGAAGAAAATAGAAAAAGGTTGAATAGAATAAAAGAATTTCTCTCTGTCAGAAAATAAAAACAAAGAATCAGCATAATGAAATAGAGTGACTCGCTTACTAATCTCCTAATCTGCATAAAACAAAATATCCTACTGGAATAAATCATCATTCGTTTTATAGACTTCTAGATTTTCTCTCGGTCATTATTTAAAATACATTTTAATCTCTTATCCAAACAAGCTCTGATTAATTAATTTAAAAAAATAAAGCAGCAGTAAGCAGGTATAATATAAATAGGTATAAGAATAAGAAAAGAAAAATTCTAATATTTATATAGTTTATTCATAACTCACCACTCTCTTTTATATGACAATGAGCAAACAAATAAATATGTATAAAAAAAAAATATATATAGACCACTACAAGGTCTTGGCTCCAGAACTTTGTATGGAACAACTGTTTCTTGGCCTACGGTTGTGCAGAGAGGTTATTTGGCATGGAATTCATGCTCAACAGCCATGTTTTTTACCTTAATTAATTAAAGTTATTTCATAGTGGGTGTGCCCCAGTAGGGTCTCCCGTTCCCAGGATCGATTCACGGCTGTTAAATCCCGGAAACAGAAATATAATGATCTGGCCTATGAAAATCTAAGCACAGTGCGTTACTCACTCAGCTAATCGCCTCCAATAGATTTATTGGTAAATATCTTCAAATTTAAGCTTTTAAATACTGGTTAATAGTAGTTTGGTAGTAATAATAATATTGGTATTTAATTCATATTGGTACGTCCCAAACATTACTTTACATAAAGACCTTCAAATAAAGTTTACGATCACATACGGACACACTACAAGTGATTTCACAACAACTTACATGGACAAACTAACACACTTGTACAAAGTATGGCTTCATTTAATTAGAAGAAGGTCCGAAAACATAATTAGAAGGCTCAAAAGGAACTGGATTAGTGATTTCCTCGCTTAAACAGTTGCTAAATGTAAGACAGGAAGGGATGCGGCTGGGCATTTCTCTCCATCAAGCTCTCATTTCTTAAGACCAAGCCACTATCTGCACTCTTACCGACAGCAGACTCGCTAATTGTCATGGCTTATGACAAGGGTGGGTGAAGAAATGGAGTTTGAAAAAAAATTAATAATCACAAAATACGTGATTGCTCTTACTGTGACGTAGAAAAATATAAAAATATTATGCTCATGAAAACATTTTTACAATCTACAACACGTTATTTAATCTACAACACAGTGGTGCCCAGAAAGGGGTTTCATGGCGGGCATATTGAGGGGGCCATATTTTGACGTATTTTTGAATTTTTGAGGGGGGAATATTTCGACGGGATTATGAATTTTCGGACTAAAGGACTAAGGAAAAATATAGAACAGACCGCGGCAAATGTAATTGTATATTATCTACGATTTTTCTAATTCTATCTTGGCTTTTTCCGTTTTTAAGAAAAGGTGAGTAATAAAATATCTTGGGAGGAGGGGGCAGGTAGGTTCTTGCGCCATCGTCCTTGGGGGAGATGGGCCCCCTGACTTAACATTACATGCTGAGGTGTACATAAACCATTTGGGAAGCGGGATTTATTTTTCAAATCCTATTAAAAGAATTTCCATGGTATAAGATTTCCATGGGTGGGTTTATTTTTGAAAACTCACTACAGAAAATAGTAATAATATATATAATAAATAAAAAATATATTTAAAATAAAATAATATTGTTTTATCATGTTTATTGGTTCTAATGTCCAGTTGAATAATTAGCCAACTAAATATAAATATATTATGAAAAAAAATACATGTATATATTCTTCGATATTAATTCCTTAGTTAAATGGTATTAATTAGATTAATTAAACAAATTGAACAAGAGAAAATGATGGTAAAAAAAAAAACCTTCCCATGAATTTGTAATGTTTTTGCTGCAAAATTATCATTTAATTATAAAATAATCCCTTGTTGGATGGCCCCAAAGTGTGCTGGGCCAAAGGAGAACGCCTCCAATTCCACATTCTCATAAATACGCCACTGACATGACTTCATGTAAACGCTGACGGCTATATAAAATGTAAGTTGTAATGCAATATGGTAAATAAATATCTTATTTAGATATTATTGTATTATGAAGATAAACAGAGGAAAAAAAAATTCAATAAGATAATTTAACACATAATTAAATGTGATAAATTAAAAACATACTGTATGGGTCTAATTGTCGTGGATTCATTTACTTTATTAATCTTTTTTATACTGCCAATGTGAGATTTGGTACAATTGGTCAGCAGTTGTGTTTTCTTATCATTTTCTTCCCCGAGGAATCTAATTATAAATTAGATTAAACGGTCCTTAAGTTTATGTGTTGACAATGAAATCCATTATTGGAAAAAAAAATTGCAGTTATGGAAAAAAAAAATGATCCTTGGAGGTAGAGACAAATCCTGGGATTTCCTCCCCAGCGGGGGCCACCCTCCTCAGGAGTCTTCTAGGGGCCATAAATAATTCAGCGGCTAAACGGACATCTTTTTAAGTTGTGAAAAATGATGGTGTTATGACAGGGAACCTGGGCGGGTCATGCATATTGTATAGGAGGGGGGGACAAATTGTCCCTGGATTATCCCGGTTTATCCCGGAATTAGGGCAAACCTCTACGGTAATATCCATCAGGATTAGGGGTCTATGTCAATCCGCTCCGTCTTAGGAGATATTACGGTGTCCTCGAGGTTGCGGCCATCTTGAGGCCACCGTAGGCCATCTAATATTATAAATTATAATAGTATTTAAGAAAATGAAACAAGGAACTTTTATAATTATTTAGTTAGGTGGAATGGCTTTACCTTCTCCAAAAATACCATGTCTCGTATTCAGAATGTTTTTCTTCAAATTTAGCACAAGTTTGAACATCTCATACATCTCATACAGACTATGCTTTTCACCCGAGATAACCATTGGTGAAATTGATATTACTTGGGCGTAGAACATAATAAATGCAACCTGCATTATTTTATGGGGAAACTTTTTTTTCAGTACGTGGGAGAAGCAGCAAGAATCTGGCTGTAAATAAACAAAAATGGAATAACCAGGTAAACTAAAAAGTGATTACCATTAATGGTGATCCATTTTTTTTTTATGTACATAAACTTTACTTATGTAAATGTTCTAAAAGTTATAGTCAATAAATTTTCCAACGCATTGGGACAAAAGGGTAAAATAATTTAAACATTAAAATTACTTTTAACCGTAGATTACTTATTATAAGTATACAACAAAATAATTTATTTTTTTACATAAGCATTTTTTTTTTTGTATATTTTTACTTAACCCTTATTCATAAAGTATACCTTTGTAGTTCCGTCGACTCTATCATACATTCTACTACTGTAGCAAGGCTATATTTAAAAAAAATTTTAATACTGTTAAATTTTAAGTCTTCTATTATTTTTAAGCTGGTAAACTGTTTCTAATGAAGTAAATACACTGAATTGTTGTTTTCATATAGTTGAAATGGTGATGATTTCGGTAAAAATTTATTACAGAATGAACGCTTTTATAAATTGAAATATATGGACTCAAAGCAATATCTAAATAAAAATAAAATTTAGGAAAAAATAAAAGCACACAATTTTTTAATAATATTATTCAGTTCGTAACTGCTATATTTAATTATGAAAATAGTTATTTACAAAACTACTATTTAGCCTGCAATTCCTCAAGGTTTAAACTGTGTACATTTGAGTAAAGAGAACAAGTCGTGACGATTCATGTACACGTGACAAATAAAATGGAAGAAATAATATCATGAGAACTGAAATGAGTAACGTTGATGGTACAAAAAACTAAATGGATAACACACACAAATGGTAACTGTTATTAAGAACGACCGAAACTTAAATACTAGGAACTTAGTTTTTTGTTTTGTTTTTTAAAACATTTTATTGAGAAATACTAGAATCTGTCTCAGTTAACGACACTCGAGTTCAGAGAGTACATTCGTACCGTATATACAGAAACATAAATAAATAAAGTAATAACAAAAGAATAAAAAAAAAGCAACAGAAGAAAAAATTATATATATATATATATATATATATATATAAATAAGTAAAAATAGAAATAAAAGTAAAACAATCATCTTAGATACAAGCCTATCTATATACAGAGAGAACTTAGTAAGGTCTGACGTTTACAATTTGGATTTTGATGGAATTCAGTGGGAAGAGTAAAGTTCAGAAAGAATTTCATGTTATGGACATTTAAACCCCAGGTCTTCAAGCCATTTTTATCTCTTAATCGTAGTTTACTATTTACGAATTAAATAAAAATAATATGAATACTTATATCTCCAAATCATATTATAATAATTACATGTTCTAAGAAAAAGATTTATGCATCAAGAATAAATACATAGCTCTAATAGTTCAACGAAGTATGGGCCCTAAGCAGTAATACTGATTTAAATTCATATCACCAAGATAAATAAACAAATATAAGAAAGAAAAAAAACCTGAAGTGGTAACAATCTAAGAAAAGAGTCTCAGAGTAAATAAATATGTACCGTGGCCGGATTCGAATTCAGATCCAGGAGATAGCAGCACAGTACCTTGATCATAAGCTGTCATCATTTTCACAGAAACGACTAAATATTTAAATATTCATATAAACTGTGATTTTAAGCTGAAAAAAAAAAACAGTCATGATTAGAATGTAATGGTCAGAGTTCCGTATTATGTCAATTAAAAGACCCTCCTAGGGTCGATAAGCAGCTGGCGAAAATCGATGTTTTTTTTCTCCCGTTCCCCAGAGACCCGCGGGAGATAAAATGAGACAATCGCGGTTAGCGCTGTCATAAGACCATTTTTCAAAATTTAAAAAGGCGCTTGATGTATGCCTTGAATAATGCATGGGGTGACTAGGGCGCGGGGATTTACTCTCTTTTATTGCGGGTGTAAACATCGAGTATTGGGGTGTGATTCTTGATATCTCTTCGAGGTGCTCCAGAGGATTTCCCATCCTCTCTTCTTCGGCATTCAGCGGAAGCCATCCACTGATCAGAAGCATCCTGTAGGCGGTGATATGGATAATACAGCAACATTTTGATTTAGCCTTCAATGGTGGCTTGGAATAAAGATGAAGCGATGTATCAGAATACACTTATCCATTTGCAAACAACTAAATCTTGTAGCGTTTGATATATTTTAGAATCTTTTTCCTTTTTTTACAGTTTATCTTTATAATAAAACAGTTTTTTAAAAACTTCTTTATTTTACTTAAAATTTGTCTAATATAATTTTTTTTTTAAATTCCCATTCATAAAGGTTTTTATATCTTCTAATTCGAAAATGTAATAATAAATATTAATCTCTCGTTAACGTACTACGTTATTCATAAAAATTCTTTCAAAACGAATAAAATTAATAAAACTTTAAATATACGTAGTTGTGAAATATGAATCTTTTTATTGATTTTTCGAGAAGGAGTTGGTCTGGGTGCGGTCAAATAAATACCATTAAAATAGTATTTTACTGTTAATGCCGACGTTTTGGCCCACGTTGTAGGTCTTCATCGGGGCTACAAAATATAAAAGCTACATAATGAAAATAAAATAAATGAATTATTAATAGGTATTAAATAAGAAACAATTGTATGATAAAGAAATAATTAGATGACATCAGTGATATAGTGGGTGATAGTGTAGTTAAAATATCAAGTATTATCTATATAGAAAATACAAAAAATAAAATAAAAAATAAGAGTGAATAAAAATAGAAACAAAGGTGAACGTATAAGCTAAAAGTAAACATATGTGATAAAAAAGATAAGATATGATTGGATAACAAACTGGTAAAGTTTAGAATTGATAACTGTAGGTTAACAGATAAGGAAATGAGGGTTACCTTCACTATGTATTGGGATGGCTTCGTAAGATGTCTACTGTAATATTATTTTTTTCTTTCCGCATATATGTGTCGGTTTTTCTGCCCTTACGATGCCTGAATAGGCAAACGTTGACAACGTTGACAATCCACTTGTATGTTGGAGACTCATAGCTTTATAGTTTAGATTTTTCAATTTATAACATAATCAGCTTATGTCTCTTTTCTAGCTTTATGCTTATTTTAGTTAATTATAATTCGAATTGGAAGACTTTGACCACTTGAGTCCCTAATCGAATCTATTTTTTCTATATAAAAACAATATATATATTTTTCAAGGAAGGAGATAGTCCGGGGTGGCGGTCATAAATAGGCTAAATAGTGGCAAAACTATTTTATTAAAAGCCCACGTTTCGACCCAACTTTGCAGGTCTTCTTCAGGGCTAGAACGGACAAGATACAAAAAGATATAGATAATTGTGTAAGTTACATAATATTTAGACAAAAAATTATAAACAATGTGAATAAGCTTATTAAAATTATAAACAGTAAGTACATTAAAATATAAACAGAGTAAGCTAAGTAACAAGATCCTAAACTTAAGTAAATAGATGGTAACAACTGTTGTAGTGTAATATATAATATGTGCAAATGTGAATATACTTCTATAGATCTACAGGGGAGATTGAATGAAAAGGAAAAAGAAAACCAAAAAAATAAATAAGTATATAAAATAAGAAGAATAAAATAGAGACTTACAGCTGTGTTCAGCTAGGAGTTCCCTTAAGAACTAGAAAATCAGGGTAAGGGTAGGTATTGGGGAAATTTGTTGACCTGTTTGGGTAATGGGGAAAAAACTCTGGAAAATTACAGTATCTAAAATTTGAAGACATAAATGGATACAAGGGAAATATATAAATATATATTTTTAAAAATACAATATGTAAATTAAATATATATTTTTATAAATACAACCTTCTCGCAATAATTAATAAATTATTTTATCTAATGAAGTTATTCAATTAAAAAAAATGGTCCGTTCGTGAAGCCGGTTTACAAGTTAACCACTCTCTAGTTATTGAGAAAGTAAATAAATACGTTTTGTTAGTTCAGAAATAGGACTTCAGTCATATAAATATATTCCCATTAGCGAACTTACATGGTCGAACGGGTTCAAATTCGAATATTTATACGTCTCATTAGCGGCGAAACATAACCAACTATCGGGTATGTTAACATAACCCAAGCAGCCGTTCTGGTATGATTGGGAACGAACCAGATATAGTAAAGACATGAAGAATTAATGAAGACTTCCATCTGTCCTGCCCCGCTCTCTTCCCATAACGATGAATTATAAAGGTTTACAAGTGTTAACCGGGAGAGATAAATAATTGATAGAATACGAAAGATGTGTAACATATTCCTCAGTGGCCCTAGGTTACCCCCGAGCTCCTGTTGCTTCACTGAATTAATCGCTGACTAAGGCCCAGTCCTCCCTGAATACCAATCCGCTACTCGGCGACTTTCTAGATTGCACCAATCCCTGGGGACGTCCACTGGCCTCCAGTTTCGCAATCGAGCAAACGATAACTTATTGTTTACGAATCGGGCGACAAATTGCGTAGGTGATCGGTAGGTTTTAAACACCAGGATTGTTATTATAGCAGAAAACAGTGGACAGCAATCAGAAACTGTGAATGTATAACTTGGCAATTTATCTAAAAAAAAATTAGGTATATAATAATCATAACTTAAGTGAAAACTTCTTTAGACGGGTTTTTGCACTTTCTTGTGGAGAGTGAATTCGATTGAGCCCTTAGATCTCCGAGGTATAACGCTCGGGTAAAGTTGGCTGGAGACGATTAATTGAATTGTTTTCGCATATTAATTAAAATATCTCAAAAACTGAAAATCTGAGCTGCATATTGTTAGGAAGGGAAATGTTCATCATTTCATCTTCTTTACAATGAGCTATTATTCAAAGTTGTATCTTAACGGGACGCTGTGTTAGAGAGGCGAAAAGGAAAAAATAGTATCGAAAACCAAATTATAACATGTTTTATGGGAATACATGAATTAAAATATTTCAGAAATTAAAAATCGGAGATGCATACTTTAAGCGAGAGAAATGTTCAGCATTTCATCCTGTTTTTAAGGAGATATTATTTATAATTTAATTTTCGTATTATTAATCTCGCCTTTTTGATGTTTTCACTTCTATCGTGCGGTCTAAAGCACACATCTTAGTTTTTCATTACATAGTTATGATTGTCTACATAATACAATTAAATTAAGTTATATGTTATTATACTGCGCTCTAAGATCTATCTTAGATAAATTTAGCTCTTCCCTGTCTCCCATCGACAATATTTCTTCGGATTTTTTCTGTATCGAAATATTAACTATCATCATTTTCTCAACATCATGTTTAATGTATGGTTGGATACTTACAGTTACTTACTAAGCTCCCTTAGTACAGGTGTTTTTTTTTCTAACCCACCAAAATGTTTATTTAATCAATTTACATATATAGTATACATAACAATACAATATATACAAGTAACAAATTCCTTCCACTGCCCGAGGGCATTTTAAAGATTGGGGATAGCTAAGGGTAACATATGTGGCAGAAGGCCTTGTGACTTTCATTGAACGGGGAAGGACCGTTCTGCTAATTATTTATTATTTACAATATATACATATTAATGGATTTGGACCGCAGAGTTTACAGAGTAACAATTCCTCGGTAGTATAGTGGGAAATATCCCCGCCTGTCCTTAATACAGGAAAATAGTTGCTCATCCATCAACTATAACTATTACATATTTTTTTCGGGAGAAGCATCTCATGAGGGCTTTCAAACAAATTTAGTTTTTGGTTGTGGAGTTATTTGGGGGGATTTAGGTCAATGAGAAAAACACAATTAAAAAAAAGTTTAAAAATTATTTTGTGCGGACTTTTCGGCGTAAGTTTCAGGCCCTCATCAGAGCTCTTACATCTAAGAGTTTAAATCGAGTTCGTTTCGATTTTCAATAATCACTGATTTTTGTAAATATGGACTACAGATGAAGAATATATCCATTTTTATTCTATTCAGTATTCCTAATTTTTGTGTTTTGAGATTCTCGTTTTTAAGTCCATAATCCTCCGATCTTTTATTTCTTTTATATTGTCTTGACAACGTTTCGGCCAACTCTAGGGCCATTTTCAAGTCTTGATTAAGTCCTCTAATCTAAAATGAATTAAATTGTCCTAATATTTTAGGGTTTCTCCTCCGTCATCTATGGATCAGTCGTCTAAAGTCAGTCCCTCCGTAGATGACGAAGGGAAAACCCGAAAATATTAGGACAATTTAATTCTTTTCAGATTAAGAAAAATGATATTGAATATGGGTATTTAGTTTTAGGACTAATTAAGACATTAAAATGGCCCTACACTTGGCCGAAACGTTGTCAAGATAATATAAAAGAAATAAAAGATTGGTGGAACACGGCTTTAATTTATAAAAATGAAAATTTATTTATTCATTAATCTTGAGTGAGGATGATGATTGAAGCGAAATAAGAAAAATAATCTTATAGAAAGAAATATTATTGTAAAATTAATTTTAAAACAATTAATCATAATAAATGAAAGATATAAATATAACAAATCCACTTTAAAGTGAGTAGCAGAGGAGCCAATCAAGCTCTCCTCCAAACCGTGACTGATTTCACTGACAAAGTGAACCGCGTGCCAGGGCATCTCTAGTCTCCCGGTCTCTTCTCTTCTATGATGTCAATATCCACTTTTTTTTCATTAATTTGTTTACTTTTCTACCTTCTGTTTGTGTTCGTCCAGACGTGGTTATTACGTGCATTGAATGAATCTCTTTGTAAATGACACACTTATTTAGCTATCCAAGTAGAGGGGTTATGATTTAATCATTAAATCTAAAAATATTACATTTCTATCAATAAAAACCCTATCCAGTTTTTTTTTTATGTCGAACTTTCAATTTTTCATTAACGCAATCAAAACTCCTCAAGATGTCTCAAAAATATACTATAGACGACGTTAGACTAAACTCTTCGGATGAAGCCAGCGACAAGGACCCTGTTTAGACAGAGACGGGGTAGACCGCAAAACAAACAGGCATCCATCAACAAATACTGCGGTCGCCTTGTGCTTGTGGCAGACCAGAGA